AGGGTTTTAGTGATGGTCCTTTGTGTTGACTGGCCTAAAAGTCACATTTATGCACCAAGTCTGTCTTTTTCCTCCACAGAATGTGAGATGAGCAGTAATTCTGACGTCAATGAATCTCAGCCCGGTGGCGACTTCTGTGGGGACAGTAAGGGCGTTTAATTTTACAAATATATTGCACCACTTCATTTGGAACAGAAGGTCATGTGTTTGATTTGCTCTTTCTCATTCACAGCAATCATCCTGAGAAATATTGCTCCCCAGAGCACTGTGGAAGGCATCATGACCGTCCTGGCACCATATGCTAATCTTTCGCCGAGCAACATTCGCTTAATCAAGGACAAACAGACGGGCCAGAACAGAGGATTTGCCTTTGTTCAACTGTCTTCTCCTCTGGTAAAACCATTGTCTTTTTTGATGACACTTTCTCTCTCAATGACTATATTGTTGAAATATCAATCAGTACATTTCTACCGTATTTTTGGTCACAGGAGGCCTCTCAGCTGCTAACCATCTTACAAGGACTGCAGCCTGGTCTCAAACTGGATGGGAAAACAATTGGAGTGGATTATGCCAAGAGTGCTCGAAAGTGTGTCCAACTTCCTTGCTTTGTGACTGATGAATGGATGTATCTTGAGTGGGCGGTAATTGTTCTTTAATTGTAACTCTAGGGACCTACTACTCCCTGATGGGAATCGCGTCAGTGCCTTTTCTGTTGCTAGCACAGCTATTGCTGCAGCTCAGTGGTCCTCAAGTCAGGTAAAAGCATTGCCTTTTTTTTTCTTCCTTTTTGAGTCAATCTCTGCAGGTTTATGATTGTGTTGCTTTTCCAGCCCCAGCCAAACGCCGAAGGAGTTTCCGAGTACAGCCTCTTGCACGAAGGGTACACTCCAATGTCACAGGTTAGTAGAACAGAAGAGGTCGCCAGTTGCGCACTGGCTACTGTAAATCCAGTAAATGCGTCTCTAGTTCCATCTAGTGGCAGAGCAGCATATGGCCCCAAGAGACATTTTATTCAGTCACTTGTAGTGTGATTTACTGACCATTTTTGCCTTTTTTTTTCCAGTCATACTATCATCAAGCCAGCACCTCACAGGAGAATGGGATTCTTGGAGGTATGAAACGCTGAACTTATCATTATCATCATCATGTTTCTATGCCCCGTAGTAGTTGGCAACATTTTATCGGCATAATTACAGCTGCCCCTAGTATGAAGCTTGTTCCGACTGCTGCTGGGGTAGTTCTCTCCCCTCCCGTGCAAGTCTACCAGCCCCATATAATTGGCCAGCCTGCTATTCAGGTATTGTGGTTGTTTGTACTGCTAATGGAGTGAACAGTGTTCCAGAGGTGAAATGACAAATGTATTGCTTACAGGCATTGCAGCTGGCTCAGCAGTTGGAAGCCAAATCTCAGGCAGGACATTTCCCAGGTGCCGATGCTGTGACTGCTGCCCCGGTAACGGCTGCCGCCACAGCTACGACCTCGGGACAAAAGACGGACGCCTCCACTGGTATCAACATTTTGTGATTATTACCATGTTCAGCTAACTACTTTCCTTTTGTTGTTTCGATTGATAATGCCTTTTAATTGACGCAGTTGTTCCGGATACATCGACTTATCAATATGATGAATCATCTGGCTATTATTATGACCCTCAGACTAGCTACTACTACGACCCAAACACGCACGTAAGCAGCACACAATTACAAAAGTGCATCTGTCGCGATCAGTGTTGGGTCATTATCTGGTATTATTCACTTTTGATTGTTTTCCCCTCCTCAGTATTACTACAACTCTCAGACTCAGCAGTATCTTTATTGGGATGGTGAGAAGCAGACATACGTCCCCGTGTCAGTCGATGCGAATGCTGCCCCTGCTCCACCCGCAGCAAACGCGAAAGAACCCCGTGAAGGCAAGGAGAAAAAGGAAAAGCCCAAGAGCAAAACTGCCCAGCAGGTAACATGTTTGTCTTACAGCAGCATAGTGACTACATTTTTTTTTCTGTCATGTTCTCTTTTGACACAATGATTTGTTTCCAGATTGCCAAAGATATGGAACGCTGGGCTAAAAGTCTTAATAAGCAAAAGGAAAACTTCAGGAGCAGCTTCCAGCCAATCAGTCAAGAGGAAAGGAAGGAGGCTGCTGCTGCTGATGCTGGCTTCACGCTTTTTGAAAAGAAGGTAGCGCAGTATATTTATTAACTTCTGTTGTATGTTACTCTTTGCTATTCTGTCTCTAAGTGGATATTATTACATTTTCAGCAAGCCGGTGTACTAGACAGAATCATTCCCGAGATGATAAATGTTCCTGAAGAGGACGCGGCCACCAGCTCCTCCAACACTTCCAAGGTTAGTCTTTTTCTCGCTTTGGAGCTGATCAAATGAGTGTTTCGATTGGAGTGTAAAAAGTGATTTGTTCTGTTAGTGTGGCCTTGTGGCAGCCTACAGCGGAGACAGTGACCCCGAGGAGGCAGCCGACGGTGGAGAGGGAGGCCAGGACAAGTTGACCGACTGGAAGAAGCTCGCCTGCTTATTGTGTAGGAGGCAGTTTCCCAATAAAGAAGGTTTAATACGGCATCAGCAGCTGTCTGACCTCCACAAGGTAACATTTATTTGTTTATTTGCCCTGATTAATTAACAATGTCAACTTACTGCTCACATCACATGTTCCTTCCCAGAAAAACCTGGAAGTTATGCGACGATCCCAAATGAGTGAAGCTGAGCTGGAGGAGTTGGAGAGAAGAGAAACGGAGGTTTGCCTTCAGGCTTTTAATGCTTTTAGGTTTTTTTCCGAGTAGCACATTTGCTTTGCTTTATAGCCCATGTTTACAAATAGACTCATTAATTCTTTGTGTGTGTAGTTAAAGTACAGAGACAGAGCAGCCGAGAGACGAGAAAAATATGGCATCCCTGAACCTCCTGTCCCCAAAAAGAAGAAATACAATCAACCAACACCAGTTGTGTAAGATTTTTTTTTTTTATTCATAACTTTAACACTCTATTGTTTACTTGTGTGTTGTAATTACATTCTAATCTGTTTCTTCCTTTCCTGCAGTAACTACGAGCAGCCTACCAAAGATGGCCTCAACAGTGACAATATTGGCAACAAAATGTTGCAAGCTATGGGCTGGAAGGAGGGCAAAGGCCTTGGTCGCAATCAGCAGGGCATCACTGCACCCATTCAGGTGTTTAGGAGGGGTTGCTTTGTAAACCATCAACTAGCTGTATTGAAATTACAAATAGGGAGATGTTATACTCACACACTTGATTTTGTCCCCCCCCCTTCCCTTCTCATTCTTGCAGGCCCAGCTAAGAACCAAAGGAGCCGGACTTGGGACTAAAGGCAGCAACTACACCCTCTCTGCATCGGACACGTACAAAGATGCAGTCCGCAAAGCCATGTTTGCTCGCTTTACTGAGCTGGAGTGAACGAGATGAACAGTGAAAGTGGTACAACACATCCTCCAGCGTGTGTTCATTACTTTACTTCTAGCCACCATGTCAAAAAAAAAAAAAAGAATTTCACATGTAGGCATATTAAATAAGTAAATATAATTTATGTTGTACATATGCACAGTCAAAAGTAAATCCTGTACATATTTTCTTCTTTTTCTGTGTGGTGCTAATAGGATATTCCTTAGTACATCAGAGATTGTACAGTTTATACAAAAGGTTTTGTCTGTTTACAGCAAATAAACTACATTAAAAAAACTGTCTTGTCCCTTAAAAAAAGTCACATGTTTACCTGGTGTGCAAATGATGTATAATTTAACTGCGGTGAGCATGCCAATTGTACATATCCAAAGGCCCATCTTGGTTTTGAACAGAAATAAAAGCTTCCGTTTCTTTGCTGACAGTCGAAATAAATTGTGTAAATATATCAGGGGCTTGTCATGCGCCATAAATGCCTCTGCCTTTGCAATGTCGTGCTGGGTCAAATCCTCAACTCAATTTTCTGGGTATGAATGGCTCAGTCCTGGGTTTGCTATTTCAAACCCAACTTTTTTTTGCTGTAGAAACATTTTCGAAATTTTTAAATGATACACCGTACAACAACGTGATTAAAAATGCTATTCTTGAGTTCCTAAGCATGTCCACTGTAATATAGGATTGAAAAAAAAATGCTGCTGTTGATGTACCAGTTGTGCTTATTTAGTGTTGGCAGTGAACTTCAAAAGTGTGGTAAGAGTACCACTGATGCTCTGGGCGCGCCCCCCCCCGCCCCCCCCCCCCCCCAGTTTGAAGCATCGCAATGGTACTCTTGACCAATTGTGTTTTTTTGTTCGGTCTCATGTTGTCAACATGTGAACAGGATGATCAAGAGGACAGTTTAAGTATCAATAAGTACCAATTGGAACCAGGAAATATCAATACATTGATGCGTCAAAGATTTTTTTTTTTTTTATTGCCTTTAAGCTCTTGATAGAAAAAAATGCCGGGTTGTTTTCCTAACCTACTTGCTGGGTATCTGTGGCTTTTAAACAGATTGGGTTACTTTACCGAGGTTGGGTTGATTATTTTGACCCAGTATAAAAAAAGGTGTATGGATACCCTGATAACCAAAGTCACCAATTTCTTGGACTCAACTCTGAAGTACATACCTGTCAACTCATACGGTTTAGCCATATTTTATAAGGATTTTGTGGTGAATCTTACGTATATGGCCATATCGCACATATACGGATTCTGAAAATTTCCGTTTTTTCCCCCCCAAACAGTTCCGTTTGCTTTTGCCCAGAATGGTGCTCGTCTACTCGAATGCTTTCATTTCCGGTAACATTCCAGTAAATCACGTGGTTCCTAGTTGAAAACAGCAGAGTATTCATAAGTATTCTAAGTAGAATGATGATTAGACATTCACCTGCCATTGTATTATGGAAATCTACAATAAATATCATTAAACATTTCGTGGGTTTTTTTCTGCGGTTATTTTGACATATAAAATGCTTTGGTATGTTATAAGGATTTTTGCTCTTTATAAGGATTTTTTTGGTAGTTTATATGGGTTGGCGCTCCGAAAGGTTGACAGGTATGGAAGTAGTTTTTCACCCCTGGTGGATCAAGATCTTGACTCAACATGTTGGGTCAAATCCTCAACTCAATTTACTGGGTACAGTATAAAAAACCCCAGCAATGGCTCAGTTCTGGGTTTGCTATTTCAAACACAATGTGTGTTACTGTAAGCTTATGTTAAATTATTAATTATTTTCATTTTATATTTGAGCATTATATAATTTAGATAACTATAACATTATAAAAAACCCCAGCAATGGCTCAGTTCTGGGTTTGCTATTTCAAACACAATGTGTGTTACTTTTAACCCAGCTGTCATGTATTGAGTAGGTTACGTCCTGACGTGATGACGTAAGACGCGGATAAGAGGAAGGAAAAATGGACACTTGTGGAGTGGCTGGCTGTTAGTTCACCGATGTTGAATGAATTAAGAGAAAGAGGACGCTTTATGTCTTGATTCAATTGGGAGCGCTCAGCCTAACTGA